CCGTGTTAATACATCATTTAACTATGTTACAACATTGTTACTGAAAATTCTAATTCAAAGTCTGTTGTAAGTACGCTTAGTCAAAGTTACTTATTCTGTTCAATAAATCCTACTTAATATGTGCCTGATGACGCCTCCAATGTAACCTTATTCCATTACTTATTCCAACTCTATACATCTTTGATAAGAGGAATCTTCAGTAAATTGAAACATTTGGTAGCACCCTCGGATTCTTAATTAGGACCGAAATGTTGGAGTCACAAGACAACGGCGTTGGCGGCATGAAGAATGGAAGAAAGAAAATTTAATAGCCCCTCAGAGATGCCTAATGACGAAGGGAGCCAACACTTTGAGAGATAACCAAAATAAATATGATGCCACCTTGTTCTTGACCGAATTTAAAAAGGGATTGCGTAATGGAAATTCTCAAATGATTTTAAGTCTTACATTTTATGAATTAAAAGACTATATTGTTTCAAACAGGTGCGAAATTGTTTATCAGATATCAGAGTCTGTATACATTTACAAAATTTCATGTTTTTTGTTTGTATGGGTCGTTAACGTTTGTCAACTTTATGCTCTAGTAGATTAGATGCAGCTTTACATTCATATTCTGATTCATAGACGTTGCTAACATTTACAATAGAATAGTAATAATATAGTAACAATATCCCTAGCAATTTACACAGCGCCATCTAGTCCCATGCAGCGTTCTATAACCCAAGCTGGGTTATGGGTACTAGGCAACTGATAGATATACTTAATTACGATACATTTATTTATATGTACATACATACAGCTGTTGAAAACACGCGGAGCAATACAAACAATAAATACAAATGTTTGTGCCGTGCAAAGAATCGAACACGCGACCATTAGAAAACGCTGTATTAAACCGCTAGACCACCAAGGCCATGTAGATTATGTTCTTCATTATATCAATTTTATACTGGTCTACGTATTTTTCTATGTGTAGTAGGTATATTAATTTATAGAAACATATTAATCCTGCAAACAAATAAAAAAGAAAATAGTTTAAGTTAAAAAAAATGTAGTGGAAAACAATAAATGTCTTACGAAACTAAGTAGTTTCCAATCTCTTAAATCTTGTGCAAAGTCCGTTTATTTTTAAGTGGTCCCATTTGTCGCGAGTTTTGTACGCTATAATTTTTACTGTATAAATCCGTTTTCTAAGCGATTCAATCTGCTGTTGCATCTGTGCCCGGACCACTATTGCTACATATATACTTATATATATCGTCGTCGTTATATGTATATTGAGACGTCGTGACTTAGTCGTTTACTATCCCGAATTACCGGAGGGAAGGGGACTGTTAGTAATATGGATCAAAAGTTCCATTGCTAGCAATGTACAGTTCAGGTTGTATGTTAGGATGACCTTCACGCGGTCCTCCCTGGAAACTATCGTAATAAATTTCTGGTAAATTTGTCCCGTTGGCGGACTAACCTGACTTTATATTCATCCTCATATCAATCTCCATTGGTCCCCATCAGCAGAAGCCATTAGCGCAGGCGGGTGCATTATTCCATTGTCATCAATAAAAAAATCTCCGAATTACGCAACTATCGTGATAAATTTTTGATAAATTTGCTTCGATGGGCTGGCTGAGCTGACCTCATATCCGTATCCCCTGGTGCCCCGCCAGCAAAAACCGTTAGCGCAGGCGGGTGAACTGATCTATTGAAATCAACGAAAAAATGTCCTGAATACGCACAGTCCAGTATTCAGGACATTTTGGGCCAACATAAAAACAAACTTTGTGTTAATTTCGTTAATAACATTGTGTATATAAAATTAATATATATATATTTCTCCAAATAATACAAATATAGTTAATATGGATAGTGTATGTATCCATATTATATAATTTTTATTTTATATCATACTAGCTGTACCCGCAATCTCGTCTGCGTGTTACAGTGACCTTGACGAAATAAAGAAAAAATATTCAATAATCTAACTCAAAACACCCAAAGAAAAAAGTTTCAATGTTTTAACTTCAAAAATGATGATTTTTCATACAAACTTTCATCCCTTATTTTATTTACCCTCTTAAGGGTTCCTCCTTCCAAGTTCCTAGCTCCCATACAAACTTTTATCTCCATTTGCAACCCTTTTTTCGCATAAAAGTAGCCTATGTTCTTTCTCAGGGTCTAGACTATTGGTATACTAAATTTTATTTAATTCGGTTCAGTACTTTTTACTTGAAAGCGAGACTGACAGACAGTTACTTTCGCATTTATAATATTAAGTAAGTAAGGATAAATTAAATTTTTCATATATGTATATTGCTGTTTTCTTTTTCTCAGTTCACTCCCTTTTCACATAAAAAAGTTGGTAGTGGCATTTCTTTAACCATGTAATATGTTGTAATATATTATGTACGTCTTTTCAACGGTAAAACTATTTTATTACATGGCTAAGGGCTCTCTTCTAATGCCGTAAGTGCAATAAGTGTTGAGCAAATGTAGTGAGACGGTGAATTGTGTCGATGAAGGAGTCGGCTCCTGTAACGCGTCACATAAATCGAAGTGAGCTATTTCAGATGATATAGACTGCTACTGGATACGACAGTCAGAAAAAAATACAAAAAAGGTTATGAACATAAACATTCGAAAACATTATATATAATGATAAAAAAGTAATTTGACTACAAACTATTGAAATCATTACAGTATTTATCCGCGGCTAGGCTCGGCTTTGAACTGATATTATTATTATTATAGGAATTGTTGTTAATAATAGACCTATTTACCTATGTTAGGTAAAATTATAGGTTAGTTCTTTCCCACCGCTGCCCATCAACCGCTTTCCGCTTTCAACCTAATGGTTAGCTGGTAGAGAATGCCATATGGCATTAAGCTCGCCAAATTGTTCAATTTTTAAAAGTGCAATAAAGAATAAATAAATAAATAAAGTGTGTGAATCTACGAGTGAAGGAACTTTTTAAAATTAATTTTCATTTTGTCTATACAAATTAAAGTTAAATAGAATCAAGTATTTTATAATACATATATACATGTACACGTCACGACTGTTATTCCAGGTGAGGTAGTCAGAGGTATTATAAACTGTCAAAGATGTGGTGAAAACAATTGTTGACATACCCACATCTCGCTGGGTATATTTGGATCCAACGTAGCAGGGAACGAATCTACTGCCGACTCGCGGATTTTTCGGTAACATATCGGTATCACCTTCACATCAAATATAAATTTACAAAAAAACTGTATGCTAACTGCTTCATTTCAACTCACGAGGTCCTAACTAATCACTCTGTAATTCAGGGAAGTAGTTTAAATTACTACATTTTCAATGTATAAGTATATATAATATAGTTTAAGGGCAATCCTTGTACTAAGATCAAGAATGTGAAGCAAAATTATTAGGAAGAAATTATACTTATGAAGTTCCAGTATTACCTATAACTCTTTGTTCAGGAAGTCGAGTGTCGAATAAACATCTGAAACCAATTCCATTATGATAATAGTTGAGCACAGTTGGTGAAGCATTACCCAATACTCCTCGTGATGATAAGAAACTCGTGAATTTTGTATTGGATGCCGTATTCAATTGTCGACCACTTTCTTTACGTCATTATCCTTGTATTGTTTATTATCGTGTCTTGTATTGTCTACTCATTAAAAAAAAAATTAAGTTGTCCTAGTTTCTCAAGCGGATTCTCTCTTTCTTTATAGATATAGATTACTTAATATTGTAATATTGATTACCTTCGCCAATAAGAAACAATATATTTTATAATTGTTTTTAATTTTTTACTGTTCTATTAGGCGTGAGCCTGTCCTTATGAGATGATTATTTTGCCTATTATAACTACACTGTTCGGACGGCTTAGTATAGAGTTTATTTCTTTCTTCTTTCGCACTTATATATTTGTGCTTTTTCTTGTGCCAGTTGCGTGTTATATTTTGGCAACTCCAACATATTTTTTTTTCTATCTGTATAATTAGACTGGACATCTTTTTTGATACCACTATGATGGCAAACAAGCATATAGTCTATTTAATAGTAAACAGTCATCAAAGCTTACAACACAGGAAACCTGAAACACCAGGGCTGTGACGTGCGTAATTCAATTAAACAAAGATATAGAAAATATCTTTGTTTAATTGAATTTTTTAAATGATATTTTGCGTTACGACAATAAGATCACGTTTATTCGACTACAATAAGTACGTGTATTCGACGTGTTGTGTTTCAATGTACATAGGTATGAAGTCTCCAGAGCGCAAGACCCAGGAGCAGCACCGTAAACCTGCAGCTCATTTAGTTAGTACACCACCCACTAATAAGTCTTCGCGCGCAGCGAGGTGAATTTGCGTTAAATTATAAACCTTATTAAGCATTGTTCCCTTGCGAGCCGTAACCTGCCGCAATGAAATGCTCTCTGAGAGCTGCTCACACTGCTAACTTTGCCTCCACTTGAATTATTTACATTTGGACTATATAACGGGGGAGATTTTGATTAATTAAATTTTATGTGACATTTTGAAGTGTTTGGTACTTTTAATCCTTATACTCTTACGCGTAGGTTGTCAACAAACGCGACCTACCTAGCTTCACAACCATAATAAAAACACATAATTGTTAAAATCTAAAAGTATTCTGAAAAATTTTAATATTCTAAGACTTATTTTGAAACTGGGAAACTAAATTACTTTGCAGATTGTGAAACAAAGAACCTTATCACGAAGGAGTTGCGTCGCAATTCCACTGTAGCACTGGTGTTTATGATAAGTGATATCAACGACAATTTTTAAATCAAAATTATGTCGTTTTTTAGTAAAATAAAATATATTTTTTTGTTTGTTTTTATATAAATTCTATTAATTAATTCATTCTGTTTTTTCTTCCATTATGTTAATCCTATAGTACTTTTTACGTATTATTTGTATCTGTGGATTTTCAGCTTGAAAATTTGACATGTCTGAATTGTCAAAAATAATCTGTGACACATAGTTTTCGTTCAGTTTTTTTTTGTTTATATTAGAATGGAGAAATCAAGTAGCAATTCAGACGCGGAAAATAATAAAGACGAAGACCCGACTACTTCTAAACAACGTGGTATAAACCCACTTCTGGTTTCCCATAACATGAATGATCTGAAAACTCTTGATTTCAATTCTGCTGATGAAGTCAGGTATCTTGTCACTTGTTCTGCTATATTTGTACACAAAATATATTTCTAAATTGTTAAGGAAGAGAAGTTATTGTTATCACATAATAACATATGATAACTGAATCTTATACATAAATAAGCTGATTGATATTTAACGTTTTTCTATTATATATGAACCATAAGTTGATTGCAAACCGAATTGTACAGTCCTAAATTAATATTGTGTGTTATATTATTATTAAAATAAATTATTGCAATAACGTTAAACAATAAAATAGTCTATTCAATCGAAATAGTAAAATAGAATTTTATGCGACTAGGAATGTAGATGTGGACGTTTGTAGACGTTTTGTTTGTTTTGTGGACGATGTATGGTTTGCTGTTTTTATATGATGAGAAAAATAACCAGTTCAAATTATTATATAAGATAGCCCAAAAAGTACAATAGCTCCTCAAGAAAATATGAACACGATGTTCTGCTCAAGATGTGTTCAATCATAGGCGAAAAGACAGTAATAATACGTTTAACAATTAAATTATCAGAGTCATTAAAATATAGTCTTATGTGTATTTTAGACAAACCATGAAAGCCGTGCTGGCGAGTAAATTATCATCAGCCGATACAGAAGAATTAATTCAAACGAAGCCATCAAATAATATAAAGCAGGAAATAACAACGAGCGCTATTAATGGCTCTAAAACTTCATTTCCGAAACTAGATCCTAAAATTAAAAACAATGTCATTCAAATGAAGAATAAGAGTAACTGGTCATCTACGAATAAAATGAATAGAAAAAGGCCTGGTCGACCGCCGAAAGCTGGACCATCAAAGAAATTAAAAAAGTCAAGTGTGACTGCATTGTATATAGGCAAGTTGTCGAATGTCGTCGCTTACAAGCATAGATGGCGTGAAGCAGATTCAGAATATGATTCAGACGTTGACTCGGTAATGATCCTGTACTAAATCGAATCGAATAAATTACACACTGTGATAAATTATACACGTATTCTTGCTAAATCTCTTATACTTTGAAGATATTTATATGTGCCTGAATAAAGTCCTACTGAAATTAGTCCTTGGTGTCTTTGTTTATGTAAACTCCAGTGTTGACTCCTTTTTTTCAATCTATGATGATAGGATTCAGTTTAAATTCAATCAATTCAGGATTCATTTTTTATGTCTGCAATTTTCTAAAATTATATGAAAGGTAAACTCAATGAACTAACGATATAAATGCTTAGAATATACTTTGTAAAAAAAAAAACTAATTTCAAGATACTATTTCTAACGCTGATAAGCTATTACCTACTTTAGTCTGGTATATATTAGATACTTAATGGATTAAACGTTAATGGACTAGAAAATTGATAATATATTTCTCATTGTCCGCTTTGCTAATAAATCCTTTCACAGACGTTTCGTTTTCGAGTTGAGTGGATATCATTTATGTTGTGTATAACGCTGAACTGTGCTATCGCATTTCACCAATCTCTTAGCGGATCGTATCATATCGGAAATTGAATTTCGGATTGGCTCCCGAGTACAGACTGTAATGGATGGTCCCGCGGTCCCTGTTTCGCGGAGTTCATGAACATGATAGATAGAAATACTTGAGAGGAGCCTTTCTTGTGCCTTGGAAATTCAGAGATATTTATTTACTCGACCCTCGCCTGTTTTGTTTTTGTTGATGCATTATGAGGTTAAACGGGTGTTTAAATAAATCATATTAACTGTAAAGAACATTGTTGCTTTTGATGTTAAACGCGAAGTATTTCGGCTGTTTATTATATACATCGAATTTGTACACTTGTAATGAATGTCCTAAAAAGTTTATTTAAATTTGTTTCCACCTAAGGTCTTTATTTTTGTAACAATACCATTATTATTCTTAAGTAACTTAACTACTACTATTTTTGTTATTAAAAATACATAAGCTCTCAAATAAATAAATAATAAAATATATAAAATACTGACTGGATTGGGAACAAAATGAATATTAATAAAATGTAAAGTTTATCTCTATAAGACTTTCAATACGAATGATATTAATATGAAGTACATACGTTTAATTTGTATGCATGTAGTTACTACAATAAGGTCTATAGATATATATATATAATACTTATATAGAAGTACCCAAAATCCAATAGAATCATCACCGTTTTATTGCAGGCAGCTAAATTATGAAAGAAATGCACAGTGGGAAATTTCCTGTTCTGGAAAATTCTCGTTCATTCTTGTCCAGTTCTCGACGCCGCTGTTTGTACATTTTGACGGGAAATGTAATATGGACCGAGTGAAATTGGGTTGGATTCGTGCCGTGTGCTGGACACCGATATTGATGTTGACAAGTCTGGATAAAACTCCTTACGTGCTGATGTAAGCTTTTCTAGTTATGATTTAGATTTCCATCATACTCATTTTTCTTGACGGAAACTAGTAATGGTGCTCTATCGATGAGTTAATTAAACAAGGAAATATAACAAAAATTAAATATTATATATATTGAATGATATCATATGAAATAGCCATTATTTTTATGATTCTTCTATATCTTTCATACTGGCCGGGCGGATTGGTATCGGGTTCTGTGTCGACTTTCCATTCATGTCTTTATAAGTATACAAATGTGCAGCACGAGGTTTGTACGGGATAAACTTCTAAACTACTTGACGAATTTTTAATAAAATTACATTTGTTATTCCTAATTTTAATCCTTGATTTTATTTTAAAAATGTCATGTCATTTGATAAAAAAAAGATTGAGCAAATCAATGTTTGTTTATATATTTTCCTTGTTTATATGTTAGACAGCCTATATAAAATATTGTTTCTTTTCTTTTAGTTCTTTTAGTTTTTGTTTTATTATATTACTCCCCTTTCATTTGAAATGCCCTATAAACGGACTAAAAGAGGCCTGTGATAATGAACTACGTCCGTCTAACCGTTAATCTGTACGACGCAAACTTTGAGTTAAATTGCACTGCCTTTGAACGTCACAGACGGACCCACATTAATCACTTGTTTTGATTACATAACTTTAATTAATGCAGAGCTTGTTAAAATGTCTTCTGGCGACACAATTTGGTATACGATCGGTTGGACCGATTTATCGGGTTGTCGGTTGACATCGTTTTCATAAGCTATCGTCAATTTCATAAACTACATCTAACAACCCATTTATCCTAATTATTGCATTTTTTGTTTCTACTTTTTCTAAGTAGACATTTATACAAATAATAAAAACAAGCTAGTGAACTCAACTACTTCTATGCAGGATTAGTCGTCGAGTAACTTATTTTTATAGATTATTTGATTCATGTATGTAGGTGACAGTTACCACTTGCAGGTAGGCTCTCAGCTTGTTTACCATTCTAATTACACAAAAAAGTAGGTATCGTAATGATGCCTCAATTAGATTCATAATCGCTTATTAAATTTTACCTAGAATTAGGGTACAATAACCTTAACCTGGCTACATTGCTTCTTATTAAATGTCACACGAAACAGTTGCAATTGACATATATTGGACCTTGACTTAAATTTTGTAATTTGTATTTTCAAACTTCAAGTTTAGTGTACTTGTTAAAGTTGGGCTAAAAAGGACTTCTATCCAGGGCCGTAAAACATTATAAATAAAAAAGAACATATTAAGAATAAGACCAAATCGAGGAGGATGTAACAAGCCTTAAGCTCTATTTTATCTGTGAGTGGGAGATTTCTAATTCTATACTGATATTATAAAGTTGAAGAGTTTGTTTCTATGTTAGAGCGCGGTAATCTTGTGTTGTATATTGTTCGGAACTGAAAGTTTCTTAGCTAATTTTATTGAGGAAGGCTATAGATTATGTAACATCACGCTACGAATAAAAGGAGTGGAGCATTAACAATAAATGTTGTATGTAATGTGATGCACATGAAATTATGCGGTTCAGATAGTTAGGATACTATTTAACTTGGTTGACGAATATTATCATGCTATACAACTGAGACCGACTGTTTAACATGACTCTTAAGTAGGAGAATTAGAATTACAAATTCCCTATGCGCAGATACAATTCCTAGTTTCTTACTATCTGCATTGCACTCACGAGTACTCGAGTATGCCTCGTTATTAATAATGAATTAATTAATGCAACGCTCAAGCAACTTCCGAGACTGTCGGGGCCCGGGGAACTCTGAAACTTCAACCTCTAGATACCTTGATATTGTTCATGTCTATAAGTGTATTTCATAATGGTTTTAAAATGAGAAAGTATCTAAATATACTTTCTGCTTAATAAACATACTAGTTTTTATTAATGAATGATAATGGTATGGTTCACCCGCCTGCGTTAACGGTTTACGCCGGCAGGGCACCAGTGGAGGATGATAGGATGAGCACGAGAACTGGTCACACAGTCCATCGTGATAAACTCATCAGGAATTTATTACGATGGGTTTCAGGGGGATCGCGTGGAGGTCAACCTGACATGGTACATTGCTAAAAATGGGTTCATCAGTCCACATCATTAACAATTCCCTTCGTAGTTTCTGCTTGCGATTTTGTTCACATGAGAAAATAATACTAATCTAAATAATATAGTAAGCGTAAAATATGAGAATTGGTCAAGTTAATGCGTAACAAACATATTGAACATGCACGTTGTATTAAAGATTCTGACATACGCGAAAAATATTATCCAACTTTTTTCAGCAGTCGGCTAAAAACATAATTTCTCGAGGCAACTGAAAAGAATCTCATCATCCCGTCCCTACATTGTTACCTCCCGAACACGTAATAGCTTACGGTCATCCGTAAAACATTCCATCAACTCAAATAATACCTACTCAATATGGCCCTTTGGCTCTTACCAGGGTATGAAAAATTGTTTACTGCGACAGCGACACGCTACTGGGTTCCGTACTAAAAAACCCTAATTTCCTTCACCCTTTCATTTATATCCCGGCAATCTGGAGGCCTGTAGCTTATTTATAGGGGTCCGGCGCTTTGATGGGTGGAAGTCAGAATGCGTAATGATAAAGCTTGTAAAAATCAACATAGACTGACGATTTTTTATTAATGATTGTAATGTCATTGATTGTAGTAAATTGCTTAATTCGACCAAGCAAACCACATCAACCGTTGTATTTACATGACTATTACGGAATATACCATTATACATTTTACGACATTATATTCCTTGGTGTGTATATTGTATTATAATTTTATCTAAAGAAAAGCGATGGTTGCTGTCGGAAAAGACTAACTCAGAAGTGACAATATAAGATTAATAGAAAACAGTCTTTAAAATTATATAAAATAAAATACAATAAGATTATAACAATGTCCGTCGTGAAAAGAGATGAATCAAAATCCCATTTCATTTTGGTTGCGCCATATAACATTACATTTTTGTTTATCATTGTATAATTATTATTAGTAATGGTTTGTTCAAATAAATAATTTAGCGTGGTACGAAACGTTAATTTTCTAAGGATTGGCACTACACTAATTCCTTTATCCTCTCCTATTCCCGCACATACCTTTGTTTTAAGTGCGAGCGAGAAGATTCGCTTGTATCGAAAGTGACATATCGCGCTCGCGCGTCACTGTTAAATTGAACGCTGAAGTTGACATTGAATTCCCGCCTTGATCGCGCTTAAGATCAAGTTTTTTGTAATTCGTGATAATTACTAAACATTTTAATCCACCGCATCGCTCTAGTGTGTTTAAGACCATTGTGTTTGTGCCATTGTTGTGAAGCAAGTAGCTGGGACCTGGAGACACCGATAGCCGCCGCACTGCAACCTACAATTCAAAGGTACTGTGCCTCCTTCCTTACCAGAACTGTCTTTCTTTGTGTTCCATCCTCACAAGCAGTTCTCAATCACCAACATAACAGTGTATCGTGTCAATCCACGTACCCGTCAGATTATTTAGATACAGTCCACTTAAATCAAAATCAAACAATATTTATTTCACCCGCGCCGCCATTATTTTAGTGGTCCATTTCGAGCCGAATATTGTAATTATTTGGTTAAACCACACTAGATATTTTATTTCTAGGTATATT